TTCCGACTTCTTTAGCATACTTCTGTTGGTAGAGAAGCATGGATAAATAAAAGGACAAAAGTAAAAAAAAAATACCTCACTAAGTGGCCGATTCTTCCTTTTACTAGCACTGCTCCACGGCACCGTCGTAAAACGGGAGAGCCAGGGCTGTGACACTCCCTGCTTATCCTCAGCCGCCGCAGTTTTCGTCGTTCGCTCGGTGCTACCAAGGGTCTCACTCCTCTGCCGTTCTTCAATTTCGTGCTCGAGGCTGAAATACGTATCCTGGAATGAATGAGACACAAGCATACCTTAAAACAAGTGGAAGTATGGAATAGCACTACCGCTCCAATAGGCGCAACAAGGCGATTTTACTGCCTTCAATCCATCGCTTTAGCAGACGATCGATTGAAAGTGCCAAAATACCAAAAAAAGAAAACTAAACGAATGCTATAAAAGTAAAGTTTCCAAGAGGCTCTTATAGTCTGCCAGTCACAAGAGGTGCGAGTATATGGCACGCATCTTTCCAGTCTTGTGGTCTGGCCTTTCCAGAGCAGCACGAGACTCGCACCAAATTGCATCTATCCTACTGCCCTCCAATTCCCTGCGTGCAGGTAGCGCAAATTATAAATGACGGTCACGCATCGTCACATGAGTACAGACACCCGTCCACTGTGTGAGGCAATGCAATGAATACGCCTTTGAACGCACTTCCTCCCTTGTTTTGCTACCCAAATGAACTTCTCCCACTCCTTAATGAGGCGATTCATTCTACGCCATCGACTCAATCCAATCTTGTCATACCTAACTTCTAAAGGATGAGTAACAAAAATGACGACGATCTCCATCAAGGAGGCACTTACATTTCACCACTATAATTTAGGTGCTCTAAATTGCTGGAACTCTATTTTCGATGCAAGAAACACTACCAGCATGGAAAAATCGCACATGTCACCAATGAAAAATAAATCTGCTACAACTTTACAAACCTTCACTTAGAAGAACAAGCAACAAGGCCAGCTTTTCGCAAGCTAACCGCAGTCAGAAATCCCAAAAAAAAAAAACGAGTAGGGAAGCCGATACAAGAGGTAAAGAGAAATCAGTAATAGATCAAAAGCGTGGCACAACGCTCTGCGTCATTTGCCAGCCTTCCACCATGCCTCTGTTGAACCGACCCAAACTTAAGAGCACTACAAGTTCTTCAAATGCAGTTTGTGCACTGGGTTATTGGCAAAGATGACCTATTCACTTAAAAAACCGCGGCCCCAGGTCCATCAATTGCCTATGGCGACACAAGAACATAGGGGGAATATGCCTAACGCAAATGGCTCAGCGTAAAGTACACACAACAAGGAGGCCATCAAAGGAATGTCAATCACAGACAACTACCTTGATCCCGAGTCCTGCAAAATGAACATACACGTACAAGTACAGCAACAACATGAGCAAATCATGACAAGGTCACAGGCCCAATCTCAAAACTTCAAGGCGCAAGTCGCCACTTGCCTGAATACCATGTCGATTCTTGAGGACCCGCTTAACAGCCGTCCCAAAGGCCGCACACTCGTGCCAGGCATTTGCAGGACTGAGGGCAAGACGCGAGGCGAGACTCTGCATGGCCTGTGCTGTCCGTCTTACCGCCTGCACTGCTGCCAC